CAATATAATTGGTTTCCAAGATGCTTCTGGCAGTTGGGTGAGGTTCAAAAAACCGGCTGCCAGTACACGTGTCAAACTTGCCTGACTGTTTCGGTAGGACAATGTAGTGGTGTGCCAGCATATCGTCAAAATATGCCACCCCAATCAGCCGATCTTATAGAGAAAGGGGGAAGGAGGAGTGGTCGACTAATCTTTCGTCGTCGAGGCGGGCTCCCGCAAGGGCTACAGCAGATAGTGCCCTTTCCTTTCCTTCAACCCCACATTCCATTCCTGTTTGTTTGCTAGACGCTGTGGCTTAGCTGCGCATATCCGGGGCTCCGCTTCTCCTCACAAGATGCAGCCACAACCAGTTTGACTTTAGCTTTCAGCCTGAACTGCAAATACCACGCTAGTTCCAAGATTTCCAGATCCTCGGTGAGACCTCGAAAATGGCCCAGCTGCCTCCTTGTCTGCCTCGAAAGCCTTGCTCGCAGCAAACACAATGGCCTTTCTTGAGTCGAGCTCACAATGACTTCTCTTGGCTCGTGCGTTCTCTTTGCGCGAACCAGTCCCGAACCCCTCGTTCAGGTTTTGCCGAGAGGAAATCAACCCGTCTTGATGGCACACCCTTGCTTGAAATGCGTGAAAATATTTTGTCCCATTCAAAAAGGCTGAAAAACTTCAATAATGATGACGGTCGTAACATCATCCGAACTTGGGGCCAGGAAACTGAAGGTCAGATTACAGCAACATATGGGCACCGATAGTGGCGAACAGAACGTCGGCCATCGACCAATTAACAATCGGTGAAGAACGTCGGCATTTATACACGTGTCATCGAATATTTTGATATCACTAGCAGCCACATAGGTTCCAAAATAATCCGTAATGTTTGTGATGTGGGCGCAATGTTAACAAAACGATCTCCTACAGTCCTGACGCTTCTCGAACACTACAGACGTGGTTTTTGCGCTGAGCATTCCTGAGACTTTGTGGGCGAAAACATGTTATGGGTCTCTGAAACAGTTTTTCATAAGTAAATATTTAAGAAGACCTACAACTAGAACAGGCAAGTCATTAACAGAAAATTCAAAAAAAGAACATAGTATCCGGGAGTACTTTCATTTCAAAGGTACCAATCTCTCTGTAGCAAAGTTTTTCTACAAGACTCATTTGAATGTTTTCATGACATGAGCACACAATGTGCACCGGTGTTTACATTAACTAGTTACATCACCGCTCTGCCAAAGCAGACATACTTTCCCACAGCTGAAGTATTTATACAACTAATTAACAAAAGCTCTTACCAACATTTTAATGATTGACTTGAGATTAGTTGTTTATATTAGGAAATTGAAGTGCACGATAGTTTTTGGCATAACCATTATTACGAATTACAAAAATTGCACATAGTTTGAGAGTTTCATAATCGAATTTCAATGACGAAATTGAAACTGATCATGTCCGGCACACAAAAAAGAGAGGCAGAACACACCGAAATGGCTCGTGAAGAGAAGTGACGAAATTTGATTTATTGATTGACTGATATGTGGGTTTAACGTCCCAAAATTACATGATTATGAGAGACGCCGTAGGGGGAGGGCTCCGGAAATTCCGACCACCTGGGGTTCTTTAACGTGCACCCAAATCTGAGCACACGGGCGAAATGACGAAACTTGAATGTACCAGAATCTGGTCAGAAAAATCTGCGACAATTCTGAAATAGCACACAAGAACGCAGTTTATTGTTCGCCTGCGATGGGTGGTGTTTGTTTGTTTTTTTTTAAGTACTAAAGGGACCCCTTACAGCGAAGGTTTCGTTTGCGACTTTTCTACAGTATTTAGTAGCCTTGGCATCTGGTGGTGGTGAAATTGAATTTTAAATGCTTTGGTGCACTGTATGAATATTGCTAGCATCGTTATTTCAGAACGATTTTGCATCAATTCGTGACATCCACCTAAATACCATAAGAAACTAGCCCATCCTAGCAGGGCAACGTCCAAGACTATGTGCGCTCAGGCTTCAGTGACGTTTTAAGTGGCGCGCTATTTTCAAACAGGGCGACCCCCAGGCAGTGAAGAATAAAACGATGTAGGTGCTTTGAGCATGTCCACCTCAGCAAAAAGAAAGCATTCCTGGCATAAGCAGCCAAGACAACCTTCACAAGTGGGCCCTTGTCTACCTGAAACCGCAAAAAATGTCGATTTCACCTGAATACTCTGATGAGCACGCACTTTTACTTTAAAACCAAATTAAAAAATTATCTTATAGGCAATGTTCATCACTAATAATCAATCAGAAGTGGCCCCTGAATGAAAAAATATCAAACGACACAAGCATCTCGAGTTTCCAAATTTGGCATCAGGGGTTCTTTAGGATGCACAAAAGCTATGTCACCTGTCTGCATGGAATGCTGCACTCACTGTTTTTGAGTTTTATGCTGCCCAGCCAAAAAAAAATATTGATGTTGCATGTTTTTCATTTACACATATATTTTTTTGTCGGCACAGTTTGAAATGAACTGGGAAGCGTCATAGTAAGGTGATACTGAGGCCCAGGTGACGCAAATTGCAACTTTTCCCGAAAGCTTGTGGACCCACTTGCCTTCAATTGAACTTCGCCATTCCATTGCAACGCGTCATTCTGGTCAGGCACAGGCAGAACAGTCAGCCCCCCCCCCCCCCCCCCGCCCCGTGTGTCTTGCACAATCAGTTTTAACTTTAACGTTAAATTTCGATAATGAATACCTTGAACTACATGCAACTTTTGCGACTTCTAAAAAAAATAGGCATGGCGTAAATTGGCACGCCCTATAGCTTTGCATTATAAACACCTGCCCTCGAGTAAATAATTAAACTCATTAATTAAATGAGTTTTTCTTAGTCACAACAGTCATTTTAACCACAGAAAAGTATTTCCACCTCGCATGCAATTCGTAAGTGAAAGTTACAGGTGCCTTGCAACCATAGGATGTTTACTGATGATCTGCATATTCTATAAAAAAATATGCTGTCTTTTAAAAGTGTACATTGAGTATGCATATTAATAGTATGCATCGTCAAATATAACTCTTCCACAAATTTTTCGTAAAGAGAGGCACAGTTTCATGATACTCAGGTATAAACTTCACACACCGCAAGAACTCCATTCTTTTACCCCCATTTTCAGTCGTACAAGAGAACAAAATACGAATACCCGATTCCTCTCATCTTAAGATAACCCGTCCAAAGCAGCAGTCCATAAACATGGTCACATTACTGACAGAACCTTAACTTCATAATGAATGTAGCTTCATTGTAACAGAGTGAGCGGGTGCAATGCACTTCTGGTAATGTTTCACAAGTGCAATTTCCTGCAACAGTGCAGATTTGATTTCATATGTGGGGTTTATAGCCCCAAAACACCATAGGATTATGAGAGATGCCGCAGTAGAGGGCTCCGAAAATTTCGACCACCTGCGGTTCTTTAACGTGCCCCAAAATCTCAGCACATGGGCCAACAACATTTTCGCTTTCATCGAAAATTCAGCCGCCTCCGCCGGGATTTGATGCCGCGACCTGCAGGTCAGCATGCAAAAGCACAGAGATCACAGCCGAAGCAAGAACAAAATCAGTGATTACATCTACACAATGTCATCCTTAGCATACACTTGCACATCAAAAATTGCTTGCAGTAAACTACACTGCTTGCTAGTGTTATATTTGGCTTATTATGGCACACTGCTCTAAAACCTAGCAGTTTTTTTAACTTCCTGCTCAAGGGATCAATCAGGACTAACCTCCATTTTCTGCAATCCTCGGCAAACGTGCCCCGGATTGCAGTAGGCATGCTTCATAATTTCCTTGATTTCTGCATGCCACCAGGTATGTGGCAGTTAAAGAAGACAACCACATTGGTTGCACATGTTGAATTCCGAATGGCACGTCCTTGGAGTAAACAAAAAAAAAAGAGAAAACCTGGCCAGTTGAAAATTCACTTCCGCAGCACAGTGCAATCGGTCAAAGTGTATGTTTTACGCCTTATAGCAATCTACACATGTTAGGCGCGGCTCCTAATCTGTTAGTGACTTGAACAGCTCATACAAATCTTGCAATGACTTCGTAAATGCTTGTCAAAACCATTTCACGATTAAAATGAGCTGCATAGGTGACATTAGCCTAGCAGAGAAGAAACAACACACTTGTAAAAGTGCAAACGTGCTTTTGTATAAACTAATACTTTAATACAATGATCTTCCATCAATCAGCAAGGGGCATGTCCAGGTTGCACAGTCACTGTAGGTAATAGCAACGCTAGGAAATTAAAGGCCATAAAAAAGCCTTGACAGAAATCACTTATTTAATATGGCACTGATGGAGATGTTGAAATGACTGCAAGTACATGCCGATGTTGGGTGCATTGTGTTATACCAGGTACTAACACACACCTGCGGTACATAAGCGAATTAAGTTACTCGCGCTATAATTAGCCTTTGCAAGAGTGGCAATGAGTCACAGCGGCACTGCACTTGAATACTGGTCGCAACGCTCGAAAGGAAAGCGGCAAAAACAAAAAGAAAACTACGGACGCACAATTGAAGGGCTGAGGTGTTCTACCGGGTTCACAAACACAGAAGAACGTGATCGTAACTCGATACATAAATAAAGTCGACAAGAGTGCCAACGGTAAATGCTAATCTAGCGGCACAGGGTCACATGCACTGTGAGCGTGTCCTATGTGCTCATTTTTGGCCCTACAGTGACTATCCAAATAATACTCCTCCATTTAGAAGTTGATCTGATACGTTAGTGCTGTAACAAAGCTTTCATATTACACACTTTGCTACATTTCAGCAGCAGAACGCATTTTCAAGATTACGCGCGCCAACACACACACACACACACACACACACACACACACACACACACACACACACACACGCACGCACACACACACACCATTTTTCAGAACAAATAATGAGTAACAGTACCTCACTTAGTTTAGAATTATGACAAAGAAAATAACACATCCAGTACGTCACCTACGAAGCTTGGACTTGCCAGTAGATGCACACGGGGGGAAGTCCTTCACATGCCGTCCATTTGTGAGCGTTTGACGTTCGGCGCGGCTAACACAACTGCGCCAGGGAACACTTGCCATTGCCATAAAACTGCACTTGTCGACACATCAAACACCATGATGACATCTCCGCAATGTCCCTACCAGGTTGCCACTTTACTGACGACAAACGCGAGTTCGGAAAAAGAAAGCGGCGCGCTCGTTCACCGCAAGAACAAAAAATAAACACAACTATGAATTTTTAGTGCTGTCACGTGACAGGCAACGCTATGCCGTTTCGGTTTCGAATTTGATGCTGATACAATTTTTTATCCATTTCTTTTACAAAAGGAAATAATCATGTTATAATTATCAAAAGTATAGAGCACGCGACTGGCTCTATATATGTTCTGAGACTGCTTTACGTGCAACGAATTCTAGATATTTCTTTGAAAAGTTTCCCGCATTCGTTTTCAGAAGTTTTGACCACTACTAACACTAGCAAACCTAGTCACGGAACACCTACCAGTTCAGTGGTCTTGACCATTGAACTTTACGAACGTGTAAAAAAAAAATGAGTAGTGGTGACCATTAGAATTTTGGGAAACTCTATGGCGGTGACTTAGGCAAGTTTTCGCCATGGTATAGCCAAGTGGTAGTACATAGGTGTTCTGTGGTATAGCCATGTAGAGTGTACTAGCCATGGGGTAACATTGTTTACTGCGTTATCTTTCAACAGCAACACTTTGACCCTGCGCCAGCGGTTGATGGTGTGCTGCCCACATACATGACCTTGCGGTGTGGCGAGTGGGTAGTTCGGTAGGAAGACTAGAAAGGTTAGGGAGGGCATAAAGTTCCGGGAGAGAGAGAGAATAAGCATTTATTAATAACAAATGCACACTGAGCCTTCTTTGGGTGGGGCCCTCAGTCCAGGGCTCCATTGCCTTGCGCGACCCTGCGAGCCCGCTGGACCAGCTACTGCTGTTCCTGCCGGCGTAAGCTGAGCAGTGTAGACTCCCAAGAGGAAGGGGTGGGATTGGGAATGGGAGGAAGGCCCTGTGGGGCAGAGCATTCCCACGTGGAGTGGTACACCATCGGTACGGATCCACAGAAGGGGCAGTAGGAGGGGTAGAGAGTCGAATGAAAGCGATTTAGCATATAAAGGCAAGGAAATGAATTGGTCTGTAGTTGCCGTCAAGCGACAGCATCTGCTCTGTTAAGTAAAGGATGAGGGGGGGGGGGATACGTATAACGGCTCTGTCGGTAGTAATCCAGCGTAGCGTTGTAGTTTAGTGGTTCTGTCGATGCGTCGTTTGGATTGGACAGCTCTTCCAACGGAAGAGCTGTCCATAAACAACGGACAGCTCTTCCGGCCGGTCAGCTCTCGGGCAACCGCATGAACGCGTTCATTACCATGGAGAGAGACGTGTCCAGAAGTACAGACGATACGCACAGGACGTAATGGGGACGGTGAGACAGAAGAGAGGATATTGTGTGTATGTGCAGCCGCAAGTCCTTGAGCTAAAGCACGGCAAGCAGCTTATAAATCTGTTACAATACTGAAAGGGGAGTCATGTGGCAGTGTCGTAGAGTCAACAATTGCCAGAGCGAGAGCTCTCTCCTCTGCCAGACCACTGTCTGTAGTCTGAAGTGTGGCAGACGCCAAAAGGGCGTCTGTGTCATATGTCACGGCTAAACACATGGCTGACTTCTCTGGGTAGCGTGCTGCATCAGTGTAAAGTGCTTGTAAGTCTGAGGTACCATCACCAAAGACGCGGGTCATAGCCTGAACTCGGGCACGTCGACGACCTGCGTGGCGGGGGGGATTCATATTGCGTGGAATCGGAGGCACTTTAATGAGTGCGCGGACAGTAGAAGCAAGTTAATGTCGCGGTATTTGTGCGGGTTTATTGTGAATCGGGTAGCCAAGACAAGACAGGATGGCGCAGCCCTGACGGGTCTGCCTGAGCCGTTGGAGCTGACTGTTGTTTTGGGCCTCGATGAGTTCGGTTACACTGTTGCGGACTCCTAATTGAAGGAGGCATTGTGTAGATGCGTGTGGAGGCAAGCCGAGAGCCGCCTTCACAGCTGTTCATAGAAGGATGTCGATCTTTTTGATTTGAGCTAGCGTGAGATTGTGAAAGGGAAGATGATAGGTGAGCCGACTAACTATGAGTGCTTGTACTAAGCGGAGGACATCCTTCTCACAGAGGCCTCTCCTGCGATTGGTGATGCGTTGGATCATGTGTGTAATTTGAGTTATCTGCTGAGCCAGAAGGTCTGTAGTGTGCGAGGCCTTGCCGTCGGACTGAAGGTAGAGTCCTAAAATGCGAATTCGTGATACCAGAGGGATAGGACGGCCATCAAGAAACAGTGAAATGTCAGGAGAATCAGCGGTTTTGCGGCGCCGCTTGTATACCAATAACAACTCCGACTTGTCCACTGAGCACGTAAGACTGCCGGCAGCGGTATAGTCTTGTACCACAAACACAGCTCCCTGTATGGCGTCCTGAATGGTTCCGTCTGTTCCTTCGGTTGCCAAAATTGTAATGTCATCTCCATAGATGGCATGCTGGATGTTGGGAACCTGTTGTAATAGGGAAGGGAGTTTAGCCATAGCCACGTTGAGCAAAGTGGGCGAGAGAACCAAGCCCTGTGATGTTCTTCTGCCTGCGAGACGAATGACGTCTGAACGGAGGTCTCCAATCCCAATAGTGGCCGTGCGGTCAGAAAGAAAGGACCTGACGTAATTGTAGATACATGAGCCACACTGAGATGAAGCGACATTGTCAAGAATAAGGTCGTGGGAGACGTTGTCAAAAGCACCCTTCAGATACAGGGCCAAAATAGCTCGGACCTGGTTTGAAGTGGGGCTATCCAACACGTCCTCCTTAAGCTGTAATAATACGTCCTGTGTAGAGATACCAGGATGGTAGCGGAATAGTGTATCAGGAAAAAAGTGATTGTCTTCGAGAAATGGTTGTAGTCGAGAGAGGACAGCGCGTTCAAAGAGTTTAGCTACACATAATGTAAAGAATATAGGGCGAAGATTCTGGAGGGATAGCGGCTTGCCAGGCTTTGGAATAAGTATGATTTCTGCATGTCGCCACTCCTGTGGTAGCGTGCCGTTGTTCCAATGTTCGTTGTAAAAAGCGGTAAAATATTCGATGGACTGGTCATCTAAATTACGCAGAAGTGTGCACGTAATCCCGTCTGTACCGGGTGGTGTATTACGCTTAATGCTTTGCAAAGCTGCCCTAACCTCTGCTTCTGTAATGTCCTCATCTAGAGGCGTATTGTGTACGTGTGGATAATCACGATAGGCGGGACGGGCCTAGGCCCGTGGATACATGCTTTAACGTGCGCAACAGAGTGGTATCGTCGAGCCCTGATTTGTGGAGAATGGTGCGGATTGCGTTAGCAGTGTGTGATTTTGTCTGCGTGAGATTTAAAAGAGCACGGAGTATACGCCACTTTCGAGGTGTACTTAGTGAGCCATTGAGTCGATCACAGAAGTTATGTCAATTGTTGCTAGTGAGGATGTTCGCATAGTCATGTGCCTCAGTAGCTAGTTGGGCGATTCGGAGACGAAGTTTTCGGTTATGTTTCTGTCGGCGTCACCGCCGTGTCAAGCCTCTGTGGGCATCCCAGAGATGCAGCAGATGCCGGTCCACATCCGGCGTTTCTGTCGTCGCAGCGATGAGTTTGGTAGCTCTTTGAAAATCGGAGTAAAGTTGTTATATCCAAGCCTCTAGGGAAGGAGAGTCCTGATGGGTAGTTGTACGATTACGCCTAAATGCATCCCAATTTGTTAGTTTTATGATGCGCTCTGGGGTACGCGTGGCTGCTACTTGGAGCTCTGTAGTTAGTATATGGTGACCACTGCCTAGATTCACCATGAGGTTGCACCAGGAATGGTGACTAACCCCCTTGACTATCGTGAGGTCGGGGCATGTGTCCCTGCTCACACTATTACCTAGGCGAGTGGGTTGATCAGGTTCTGTCAGCAGGGTCATGCGACGAATCGCGAGAACCTGTGCGAGTGGTCGGCCTTTAGGGGTTTCTGTTGCGTAGCCCCAAGCTGGTTGGGAGGCATTGAAATCTCCTACAATAACTATGTGTTTAACCAACTTGCATAGTTGTGCAAATAGATGACCGAAGTCATCGTTCCTGGCGTTAGGTGCACTGTAAACGTTAAGCATGTACAGGCTGCTACTGGAACGAGAGCACGGGACTAATACGAGAAGTACGTGTGAGATGGAGGTGCTTTGAAAGGTGTGTTCTGTGACAGTGACATGCTTAGAAACTAATGTAGCTGTGCGATGTGGTGTATTGTTCGTTACGTCCGTGTATGTGGTGTAATCCGGAAGCGTAGGGGTACATTGTACTTCTTGTAACGCTATGACATCGGGAGTAATCTGCTGCGTCGCAATGAATTGCCTTAGAGCTCCGCGTTTCCTGCGATGCCCCCTGCAATTCCACTGCCCCACACGTAGTAGTTGAGGGGTGTCACGCGTTGACCTACGGTTTCTCGCCATGATCATGCAATAGCAGGGCCTCGGTAGTACACGGAGGCATTTCAGACTGTGCTAAATCTTGGTGGGGGGTGGTGGGAAGCGAGACTGCAGCAGCTGCGGCTGTTGGTATGGTTTTTCGGGACGGTGATAGGAAACGGGAGGGGCATATCTAAGGATGTGGTCGCTGTGTTTCACGTGTCGGAGACGTGGTGGGTTTTGGTGCAGATGACGCAATATTAAGTTGGCCAAGTGCGCCGATATCTGCTGTTTAACATCCGTTACAATCTGCTGGACAGCAGTTTGCAGGGTCTGCTGGATCAATTGTTGGAGTGGAGCTGTTAGTTCAGCCATAATGCTATCCTTCATTTTCTGCATTTCTACCTGCATCATAGCTGCGAATTCGTTCTTTAAAGAAGTAGCCATTTCGTTCAACGCCTCTCGTGTGCAATAGTCGGATCGTGCCGTAGTTGACGGCATGTCAGGGTGAAGCTGAGTGTCTACTGACATTGGTTGTGGTAGTCTAGGTGGCGTTGGTTGTGGTGTTGTTTGCTGCGTTGATGTTTGTGTGAGAGAGTAGGACTGGTGTGGAGAGGGAGGGAGGGAGAGGAGGGAACTGCCCTGCCCAGCTTACCGATTGTGCTTTCTTGTGGGATCCGCTTTGCTGGCCATGATGATGCGTTGTCCCGTCCGTGTGCCAGCCTTG